AGGGCAGCCAGGGGCACCCAGCCACGCCGACCCCTTCTGCTGGGGGCCCGGCAGGCAAGCGGACGCCCTCCAGGGCTCTGGCTGTGGTTCCGCAGAGCTGGGAGGAGACTCAGGAAAGGACATTTAGGCCAGCGCTTCCTGAGCTTGTCCACCAAGAGCTCCTGCGACCATCTGCCCATCCCCGCCTTCTGCCCTTCTGACTCGCTTTGCCAAAACTTCGGTCGATCAGGAAGAATGGCCCAGATGAAGCAATAACCAACAGCCAACGCGGTATAGCACTGGGCTAGCTGGCACTGTGGCGCCTCCCCGGGCTGATGAAAGCCTGGCCCCAGCCAGAGAGATCTGGCCCCCTGATTGGCCCCAGCCACCTCCCAGGTCAGCGTTGGGTTTCTACTGGGCTTCCTGAAACACCCAACGACCCCCCAGCTGCGAGGCCTCTTGTGCACTCCCCGCCACGCGTGACAGCCCTATTTTCACGAACTGAAGCACCCGCAAATGAACGGTCAGCAGGCAGAATCCCAGCATGACTGGAATCTGGGGAGGGCTGCTTGGCTCTGCTCTCTGCTGGGTCCCTCACTCTCAGGCTCCCCGTGGTGGGCAGAGGGCCGCTGCCAGATCCAGGGCAACCCGCCCTCAGGCTGGGGGCCAGAGACATGGGGGAGCTTCGGCCCGCATCCTGGAGTTCACTCTGATTTCACCAACTTGGGCCACAGGTCCCCCTGAACCAGTCGCTGCAGCTGCGGGCATTGGGTGTCTTGACCCACCAGGACCCCCGAACACAAGTAGATGGAGGCTCCCCAAGGCAGGGGCAGGGGCAGGGACCCGTGACTCTCCAGCGCTGCCGTCAGATGTTCGCGGGGCCCCGACGTCTCGAGTGTTGGTAGGCGGGGAGCCTGCCTCCCCAGGTTTCTGTAAGGACACCACCACCGTCCCGGCAGAGAGTGAGAAACCCACACTGGTTTCTCCCTCAGCCCTGGGCCGCCTCCTCCAGGAAGCCTGTTCTCCGTGTGCTTCCCAGGCAGAGACAGCCAAGGGCTGACTGCAGCCTCTGGTTTCCAGCCTTCTTTACTGCCCACGGGCCTTCCCTTCTTCCCCTGGGGACTCTGGGTGTGTGTCTGCCCCCCGTGCCTCTTGGTCCCTGGGGACATCGCCCCTTCTGGATGAGCCTGTGGTTGCTGTTGCTGCCTTGTGAGGTCACCACTCTGCTTGGGTCCCACAACCAGCAAATCTCTGGCTCCTCTACCCCGTGGTTCTGCAGTTTTGACTGCCCCCCAAATCTTCACGTTCCTGGGAACACGACCCAGGTGGGAGGCGAGAATCGGGCAGAGGGCACAAGGCCAACTATGGCATCAGGCCCCGTGGCTTTCAGAGATGCTCCCTCCTGGCGTCTCCCTCTGGCCAAGGGCTTCCCCAGCTGATGGGCTGCCAGCAATGCTGGGGGGACGGCTGAGGGACGTGAAGTCCAGTCGCCTGGCCCGCTGCGGTCTCTCCCGGGAGGCCTGTGGGCCTCACGCAAATGGCATGTGGCTGGTTTGCCCAGACACCCATGTGTGTGCAGTGGGACGTTCGCGGGTCCTCCCTTCGGGACCTCACTGTCCCTTCCCCTCCGCCAAGCTCCACACACAGCACAACGACCAGGTCCGTAACCCACGCACCCCGTCTCCCAGAAGAAAAAGGAGAACACGGACTTTGGCAAAACAATTTTATTGTTTAAAAAATAAATGTTACATTTGACATACAAAAGTCATTTTAAAAACTCTGTTCTGAATGTGTCTCACCGTCTGAGACATCGTTAAGTGTCCGCCGCTTCCATAAAAACCAGGGGCAGTTTCTCTTTGTGCAAGAAGACAAGGCACATCACTGTCACTTGGTAGAGAAGGGGTTCACGCCTACGGTCTCCCCACTGCACCACACAAAGGACACAGGCCTTCTGAAAAAGGAGCTTGCCTGCCACTCTGCTCGCCGGGCAGAAGCCCAGTACGGAGTGTCCCAGCACGGGACGGAGACCGCCCGGACACGGTCCCGACTGCAACACACCCTGGCTTCCACGCTGGCCCCACGCCCCATCTAGATCTCTTGCTGGCTCTGGATCAGCTCGGCCTTCCTGGCTGGGGACGAGGCCCTGCACTCGACCCTTGCTTGCGGGACCAGGAGGAGGAGACCGTACAGGTCACACCGCGGAGAGCTGGATGCGCTCTGGACCCTCGGTCGGAGCTAACCCAGGGTCCTGTCCTTTCCTAGTTAAGTATCTCACGACGTTTTATAACTGACCTTTCTAGACTTCTGTAGCGCTACAGCTGAAGACCCAAACTGACAAATTTATGTAGCGTCTGTTTACACTTCCACTTTCAAAGCGAACTACTAGCCATCCAAATATGCTCCCCTGGGCTCTCAGCAAATGAAAATGTGTTTGCCTGGCCCTACACCAGAGGGACAGAAAAGATGCAGAGACTTCCAGCAAAACACCCCAGAGCAGGGCAAGGGGTTGGGACAAAGACCATCCTAGGGAATCAACAGGATTCCCCTAGACGCCCCCCCCACCCCCACCCTGTCCGCCTTCAGGTCACACACAGACACGGCCCCCAGGGGTCTGCTTTGCAAACAGGAGCTCCGGGAGCTGCCCGGGGAGGAAGCTTCCCCGAAGGGATCGCTAGAATTTCGGGAATGCCTCCTCCAATCTCTTGCTGTTTCCGTCTCGTGCTGGCGACAGCACTCGTGAATTGGCACCTCGCTTAGCCACGAGCCGTGGAGGCCGCGCTCACAGCCCACCCCTGGAGGCCACCGAGCGCCGCCTCTGGAGAAGACCTCTGCCACCGCACGTCCCCAGAAACACATGCCGGGCTGGGTCCCCGCTCACTCCAGCCGGTGAAGACCCGTGTGGCGGGAAGACGGCTCTGAACGGGGGCGGCGCTCTGCCCTGGTGCTGACAGGGCACGAAGGGACTGTCACTTCGTACGGAGCCTGCACAGGGTGTGACACAGGACAGCCCCGCCGCACGCTAGCGCCCCCCTCAGGCCCCGGGCCCGAAACACCAGACGGAAGCTGGACAGAGGCGGCGGCGCGGGTGAGCCTCCGGTCGGCGGAGGGAAACAATGGCAGGCAGGGCGCACACGGGAAGAAACCCACACTTGCGACAGGCGACACCAGCTGTGGGCACAGAGCCTCTGAGCGCCAGGCGGACCAACTGAGCCGTCCCCCCCGCCCCCCGCTGTGATCCGCCCTCCCAAGGCCCTCACCCTCGGGGTTTGTCTTTCAAGGGGGCGGGCGGGCAGGATGGCGCTGTGCCGGGCCCTGTGCCCTGTGCGTTCTCGAACACACCGCCAGGCAGCTTTTCCACAAGTGGCCTAAGGTCTGCAGGGTCCTGTCTGCCTAGGATAAAAATCTAACCGGATAAAACTGAGAGTGTGCTTATGTGAGGCTGCATGTATTTTTGTTGAAAATACAGTTTTTTGTTGTTCCTGAAAACTAAACTGCGGGAAACCACCCCTTAAGGTCTCGTGGAAGCTTCTGCCCGCCTTGCTCTGTCACACTGCCCTCAGCTCTCTGTACAAACGGGGAAAGCAGGGCTCAAGGCAAAGCAGGAGCGAGCTCTGGGCCCGGGGACAGCAGGCCTGTGCCTCCGGGGAGACGACCCTGGGGGAGCGCTCTGCACTGCCGGGCCGCTAACCTGGAGGCCCCAGGTGGGAATAAAGCTCTGTCTGCAGAGAAACAAGAAGCAGGGAGGGTCAACGCGACTATTTTAACTTGTGGTTAGCAGAGAACTACGCTCCCAGATCAAACTCAGAACCTAGTTTACAACAACCTGGAAAGTCCCTCCCCTCTCCCCACAACAAATGGTAAGGTGCTCGCTCTAGAGATGCTAAATCACTGGGGGGGGGGGGACCCTCCGCCTCTCCCAGGTCCACGAGGGCACACGGGCTCCCGCCCGCCGCTCCGTGACAGCCCCTCTGTGCACCGAGAGCTCCCTGGGAAGGAGGGGGCACCACGGGGCTGGCACCCTGGCCTGTTGTCGTCGGACAACCTCAGTTCCAGCGTCAAAGTCATCTGTAAACAAGGACGCCTCCACTGTCCTCACGGGGTGCTTGAGAGAGTAAGGAGCCCAAGCAGCGTGTCGCGTCGGCCTCATCAACCCCGTGAGGAAGGGAGCCGAGCACCCACGCCAGGGGCCACGGCAGCCTCGCTGCGCCAGGTGGGCCCGTGGCACGAAGCTGCAGGAATGGAAAGCCCAGGCTCCCGTCCCAACGTGCTCCCTGGTGGCCCCTGTATGAGCTGGACACACGTGCTCCCTTCCGCACCTCGGGCCCTCGGTTCAGACACGGGGTGAAGTTGGACTGGAGCAGCATTTTTCGAACCATGTATCAATCTAGTAGGTTCTAGGGAGCATTTCCCAAACATGAAATAGAAACCGGAGGGTATCTCACGTTCTAAGGTAAGAATTCCTTCATGGAACTTGTGCGTGAGGCAGACTCACACACCAATGTGATGACGGATTCCTGAGGTAAGGTGTGCTTCTGGCCATGGCTCGTGGTCCACAAAGGTGGAACACCATCCGTCTCGGTGGCCCCGTTCTGAGACCCTCCTTCCCAGGATGGGACACAGGGGACTCCTGTGGTGTGACTTCAGGGCAGCACTTGGCACCTCTGCCCCACCCCGGCCCCTGACGTATGCTCGACTGATGAAGGCTGGGTTCTGAGGCAAGGTCCTCCTCTCAGACGGGAGGTCCTGGGCTCAGGCCCACACTGACTCACTATTATTCAGAAATGGTGACATCAGGGCCTGCTGGCCCACATCCTGGACTGATTCTTGGGCGCGGGGAGGTCGCTTTCTGTCAGTGTCGCAACCACAGAGGATGAAGTTCCTGAAGAACACATGGGGGAGAGCTCAAGGCCAGGGGCTGGCGCAGGGAGGGCCGGGATGGTGCAAGAGCGCCCCCACGTGGCCACACAACCACCCGTGTCCCCTCATGAGCGCTGGCCCCCAGAAGCAAAAAAAAAAAAAAAAAGCAAAAAAAAAAAAAAAAAGCCAAAACGCAGACCCCCAGAGAGAGAGACTTCCCGACCGGGCACTGGGGTTCTGCTTTGCCGAGGTTAGCTCTCTCGGTGTAAGGAGAGCTGTCCTGTCCAGACGGGTCGTGGGAGGCCAGGGGACGTTCAACAGGAGAGCCTTTCACATAGAGAACCCTCAGCTCGGGCCCCAGAATGCTTTTAAATCCACAGCCTTGAAGAAAGTGTAAACACGCAGAAGCAGCAGCAGAGAAATACATTTGGCGACGCTCCCCCTCACCAAGGAAAGCCCTCAGGGTGACATCAACACTTGATACGAGGTGTCAAGCAGTCACACAGGAAAAATCGGTCTCATTCCTTTACAGTCCTGTCTTGGGCGCACGACGACGTGGGAAGTTGAAATACTAATTACGTGTGTGAGAATATTTTTTACAAGAATTTCAGAGAGACAGCCCCCCCCACACACTATTACTGGCCCGGCGCTAATCAAGAACACAGCACCCAACCTCCTCTGAACAGAAGCTACCTGTTGTTTTCCCCGGGGGTCAGTGTGTCCGCGGTGACAGGCCAGGCCAGCACACGGCAGGCAGGTGGGCTCCATGCCCCCGAGAGGTAGTGTGAGGAGGGCGGGGGCCGGCCAGGTCCCTGAGAAGCTCGTGGGCAGCCCGCGCTGCCTGGGAGCTACAGCTGCCCGCAGAGGAGGCCCGGCTCCTGTCTGGTCAGATCAGAGCACCTGCAGGGTCTGGACCATTTCCATCACAGCTCTCCCCACAAATGACGTGTCCGCATCACAGAAAGGCTTAACCGGATCTTTCCTGGGGAAGCAACAGGGTCTACTGAGAGTGGAAATGCCCACCGGAAGTCCCCTGAGGTGTAAAGGACCCTCTGGAGTGAGGGATCCCTGGAATGGCCGAATCATCTATGCCCACTGTGTATCACAAAGGGGGCTGGCTAGAGAAGGGAGAGTGGGCGGGGGGCCTCCCCCCACGCAGAGAAGTCCATCTACTGCGAAAGGGAGCTCCAAACAACAGCTGCAAGATTTCTGGGACCTTCTTAGTGTTTGTTGCTGTGTTCCTGCTACCGTCCTTCATCTGTCTGGGGGACAGCAGGGAGACAGAGGGGAAGGGAACCCAGAGAGAGCGGAGGAGGCAGCCACAAAGAGGCCAGGACAGTAGGCTAAACGTCAGAGGCTCAGGAAGAAGGGGAGGGATGGAAGAAACGGCCAACTCAAGGTCTCTGGACAGTTTCTAGCACCTGCTTCGTGTGGGCTCTGTACCTGATGGAACCCGTGCTGCTCCCTTCTCTCTACTATCCCTAGTCTTCTCTTCCACAGGAGCCAGTTCAAGGTTCACCCCCTCCAGGAAGCCTTCCCTGATTAACCCTAGCCATCGCATTTCTACTGAAGGTGGGAGCTCTCACACCCTCCTGTTTTGTGCTGGCTGGTGTTATTGTGTAACTGCTGCTGGTATGTTCTTAAGGCGGATATTTCTCTCCCGACTTGGACTGGAAGCTTCTCAAGAGCAGACTCCATTTCTTCCTTGTGTCTGTGTCTGCCCACCACAACTAGATACGGACCGTCAAAGGGACTGGGATAAGGCCTCGTCCTTTCCTCTCTGGGGGCCTAATCTTAAGGCATCAGGTTCCAGAGAGCCAAGACAGGGGGCAGGACCAAGGGGAAGGGGAAAGTACCGGGGAAAGCAAGCATGGGAGCAAGCAAAGGCCAAAGGCACCATCATCCCAGAAAAGCCTCATAGTCCATATACCAAACCAGCTGGCCAGAACTCGGCAGGACGCCGGAAATGGGCCACTTCTTGGGCTCATGGCCCACGCGGCTCACCAGCATGGTGATCTCACGCTTCAGCCTGCCCATGACCAGGACTGCCACCTTGCGGGCACGGTTGATGAGGGGCAGGCTCAGGCTCATGCGCTGGTGCGGCTTGGAGGGGCTCCTGGTCAGCACCACCGGCTGCGTGCCCTCCAGGCCGGCGGGCGACTGCGGGAACAGGGAGGCCGTGTGCCCGTCCGTGCCCATGCCCAGCAGCACCAGGTCGAAGCTGCTGTCGGCCACCAGGGCCGAGATCTCGCTGGCGTACATCTGGGCGCCCCGGTCCTCCTCGGCACAGAGGCGCTGATGCAGGTGCACCGGCATGGGGTGGACATTGTAGTGGGGGACCCTGACGTGCTGCAGCAGGTGAGCCTGCAGGCCCTGGAAGTTCGACTCAGGGTCCCGAAGAGGGACGCAGCGCTCGTCCACCAGCCACAGGTGCGTGTGGGCCCAGGGGAGGCCGTAGTGCCGGGTGGCCAGCTGCTGCAGCAGGGGCACGGGGCTGGAGCCGCCGGACAGCGCCAGGTGGAACTCGCCAGAGCGCTGCACCGCCCACACAGCTGCGGCCTCGATGTCAGCAGCCAGCTGCGCGATCAGCTCGTCAGGCCAGGCCGAGATCAGCGGGCTCTCCCGGTACTTGGCGCGGAGCACCTGGAAGTCGCTGGGCTTCGGAGCGGAACCTGGGCCCGGCACCAGCTGCTCCAGCTGCGGCCGGGAGAAGCGCAACTGGGTGCCACTGAACTCGAAGTCCAGCAGGTGCCCGCTCTCGGCTCCTCCCGGGTAGAGGCGCGGGACCTCGTGGGCCAGGCTGTCCAGCAAGGGGGTCCAGAAAACCCAGGAGGCCAGCAAGTTCTCCGTGGTGATGAAGGAGTCCTTGCGGCCGTGGAAGATGTGAGATATGAGGACAGAATAGGCGTCCTGCTCCCTCACGGGGCTGTAGGCATAGTAATCCGACAGAGGGCGGCCGAAGAGGTGGAGCCCGGGCCGGCCCTCCACTTCCTGCCAGCTCTCAGAGGGCAGAGCGGGCCTGAACAGGTTCCGACTGACCAGCACAGCAGGGCTGCCCAGCTCACCGTGTCCGATGTAGAAGACGATCTGCCGAGGCAGGCACGGGCTCTGGTCTGCCACCCAGCGCTTCTCGTTCTGGGCACAGTAAGCCTGGTTCCGGAACAAGATCCGCACATAGCCCACTCTCTCATCCAAGGCTTTGCCAGACATCAGGAAGAAAGGGACGCCCTCCCAGCGAAGGTTGTCTACGTGAACGAGGATGCCTGAGGTGACAGGGGACAGCGGAGGTGACACTCGGGCACAGAGAACCCAGGACTTCCCAGTGCACCCGCCTTCCCTTCCTTGCCTCCACACCAGCCCTTCTCCTCTCTGAGCCCCTCCTCTGGGCAGCCCGCTGCCTCTGAAGCGCCCCCGGCCTTGCTATGCTCAGCCTTTCTAGCATCTTCTCCCCCAAATCAGTGCTTGAAATGCAGCCTCTGGGCCACCTCAGACACCCACCTCCGTGAGGCGCCTTAGAGTCCTGGCCTTCGCCTGCCCCAAGCAAAGAGAACCGAAGTCTCGTGGCGGGGAGGGAGGCATGCTTCCCTCCCGCTTGTAGAGCACCCAGATGTGCCTGAGGCAAGGCCAGACGGCGGAGAAGGGGTGGGGCTGGGGCTCTGAGCCAACAGCAGGGTGGTGTGCAGGGCCTGCGGCGGGAGGGCGCATGTGTGGTAGGAACCAAGGGCTGAGTGCACTGCTGACTCGAGTTCCGAGCCTGGTCTTCCCATGTATGATCTCCGCATGACCTTGAGCAAGTTTCTGAACTTGATGGAGCCTCTGGTTTCCCGACCTCTGAATGGGGGCAGTAATCACGCCTGTGCCGTGGGTTTGTGCTCCCGAGGGTTACGTGAGGTAGCATATATCAAGTGCCTAGCACGTCGTAAGTGCCCCATAAACAGCCGCTGCTCTTGTAGTGGAATTTACTACCTGCAGCCTTAGGGGGCCGGCCCTCTCCAGGAACACTCTGGGCCCTGGGAACTGTCCATAGCATGGCTTGAGAGGACATCTGTCTGAGCTGCAGGGAGACTGCCTGCCGGAGGTGCCCTGGGCTGTGACCGGACAGATCTGTAGCCTCCCTGGGGGGGGGGGGGTGCTGGCTATAGGTGGGAGCCAGGTGTGAATCCGGCTCAGAGAGCTCTGGAAGTGTGTGTGGATGCGGACTGAACGGAGCTCAACCGTTGGGTGAGCTTCCAAAGACAGTGGGAGGCCAGAGAAGCGAAGGACCTTCCTCCCTGGCGACGGGCACCCTTGTGAATGTCCCACCTGAGGTCTCTTCCAACCCAAACCAAAGGGCGTCTGGACTTGGAAAGCTGCTTCCGGTGGGGGGCAGCCCCTGCGCGGCCCCAGGGCCCACCTGCGAAGGTCGGCGTCAGGCTGTGGAAGCTGGCTGGCTTCTGCTGCTCTCTGCGCACCTGCTCGCTGTATGCCTGGTACTGGCCCAGGACGGCACTGTCCTTCTGCAGGCCCCGCAGAGCCCGGAAGGCCTGAAGCTTGCGCTGCAGCACGGCCTCTGGGCTGCTGACGTTGTCGGGCAGCTCCATGGCCACGAGTGTGAGGACCTCCGTCAGGTGGTTCTGGAGCACGTCGCGAATGACGCCGTACTCCTCATAGAAGCTGGTGCGGCCTACACGGGAGGAGGAGGGGAAGCAGGGGCTGTAAAGAATCGGCAAGATGCCCCACCTCCCAGAGGTGCACCTGGACCCCCTCCCCGGCACCCCTGCCCTGCACGCCCACCCTGCAGCCGGCGTCCTCAGCCCCCAGGCCAGAGAGCTGCCGGAGCACAAACAAGAGAAGGAAGGAGGGTGTCTCTGAGCATTCTAAGCGAAGCTGTCCAACGCCCTGGGCCTTCCCAGGAATCTGCGTGGGGAAGGGTCTGGTGCCAGCAGAGGCCAGAGGACATTTATTTGCAGATGTGTGGCCGGACTCCGGCCCCTCCCCAGGCATCGGTCAGCAGGTGTCTGAGTGCCGCTTAGTACTGTGTGATCCTGGGCATTCCCTGACATCTCGGTCTGTTTCTGCACCCTGCCATTAAACGGGGCTGACAATGGCCACCGCATCACCAAGGGCACGGCTGTGCGGACAGCGAGCAGGTGTGGAGGTCCCTGCCCTCGGCTTTTGGCGGGAAGGAAGGAAAACACAGTAAGTCAGTAAAGAAATTACAGGGGCGCCTGGGTGGCTCAATCGGCTGGGTGTCTGACTTGTGGTCTCAGATCAGATCTTGATCTCAGGGTCATGAGTTCAAGCTCCACATTGGGCTCCATGCTGGATGTGGAGCCTACTTAAAAAAATAAAAAAGAGGGGCGCCTGGGTGGCTCAGTCAGTTAAGTGGCTGCCTTCAGCGCAGGTCATGATCCCAGGGTCCTGGGATCGAGCCCCTTGTTGCACTCCCTGCTCAGCAGGGAGTCTGCCTCTCCCTCTCCCTCTGCTGCTCCGCTGCTTGTGCTCTTTCTCTCTCTCTGTCAAATAAATAAAATCTTTTAGAAAAATTAAGTACAGAGAGAGAGAAGAGGGCCCTCTGAGGGCTGAAGAGTCAGCACTGCAAAAAGCCAGGGAAAGACTGTGCTGAAGGAGCCCTCGGGTGCAGACACCGCGAGACAGGAAAGAGCTCGGCTGTGGGGGTCTACGGGAAGGTGAGCAAGACGGAGAGGCCAGGAGGGCAGGGGCTGGTGGCATCAGGTTCTACGTTCAGGGAAGCGAGTGGAGAATCTGAGGCAAGAAAAGACAAGATCTGGTGTATATTCCCGCTGGGGTAAGAACGGATGCAGAAGCAACGAGCCCAGGGAGGCGGCTATGTGGTGCCCCGAGGAGGCTATGCGGCACCCCGAGGAGGCGGCTCCGCGGTGGCCAGTGGCCCCGAGGGAAGGCAACCGGGCTGGAGCTGAAGGGGCAGCAGAGGAGCCGGAGGGAGTGGACAATCTGTTGTGGAATCAGAAGTCACTGGCTGCTGCCCGCTGGTGACAAGCCTGAGCCCAGGGGAGGGACTAGAATTGGGGTCTACGCAAAGGATGGGCAGTGGGGGGGACCCCAGGAAAGGACCAGTCTGAGGGGAACCATGAGTTCTGTTCTGTGTGTGTCTAAGCTGAAGACAGCAGGTTGGCAGGTGGACAGGGTCCCTGTGCGGGTAAGGGAGAATAACACCGAGGACACGGGGCACAGAGCCCCGCGGCGGCAGCCCGGTGCTCACCGCACCCCTCCTGCTCGCCCTCCCAGGATCCCGCGGGGCAGCTCCCACCATCACGCCTGCTCCAGCCCCGACGGCAGAGTCGAAGGTCTCGGGCCAGCACAGGCCAAGTCAGGAGCGGGGCCAGCACGTGCGACAGCACTCTGCGTCCCCCAGAACTCAGCATGAGGCCTGATCGGCAGTGACTCAAATACGTACAATCCCACAGTCTCACAGCTTAGGCTTCAAACGCACAATAGGGCACCGGGCATGGTTCATACTCGGCAGCCTGCCGACACCCAGGCCAACTCAGAGCGTCACGGAGAGAGCTGGACATCATGGCAGGAGTCGTCATCATCTGTCAAAGGCCTTGTGTGATCAGCTGGAACTGGGGCCTGGTTCATTCACCCAGTAACTCCTGCCTGTCCCTCAGGTCTCGGCTTCTAGAGGCTGTCACGGACGCCTTGGCCTGCGCTCCTGGGGGCCCTGTCTCCCGCAAGCCCGGCTGACTGACTCGGTGTCCGTCTGTCCTCTCCCTGCCACACCCGCAGCTCCAGCAGAGTGGGGGCTCACCGGTCTGCCACCATTGCGTGCCCGGCACCTGACGCAGCCGCATGGCCACGCCACGGGACACCGGACGGCAGAGAACAGGAACGTCCACACTCGCAAAATCGTAATGCGGACAGAAAGAAACATGCTCGGTTTGATAACGTAAAAACTAATTTTGAAAATAGGATATAAGAGGACCGGTGTACACAGAACTTCGATAAATGAAAAATGCAACTGGAAATTAGAAATTCAGTGGATGGGTTTATGGATTAGAAACAGGTGAAAAGAGTCAGTCATTGGAAGACAGATCTGAAGAGATTATCCTAAATGCAGGATAAAGGAACAAAAAGATCCACACTCTCTCTCTCACACACACACACACACACACGCACACATACAGTATGCGTCTTCTTCAAAATTAAACAACATATTGTCTAGGAAATCAGACCTACATAGAAACAATAAAGAGAAGCAAGGGAGTGACCTACCCAAAATCTGGAATAGTAAAGGAGAGAAAATAGGATAAGATTTGGGGAAGGACACAATAAAGCTCTTTTTTAAAAATGGCTTGGTGGGTACACTGGTGTTTGTTATATCGTACTTCTTCATGCTACACATATTTAGTAAGAATTCTTTTTTATCTAGTCAATATTTAATTCAAAGGAGCAGAAAGAAGCGGCCCCTAGTTTAGACCTGCTTGGGCCCGCACACTCCCCTACAGGGGCCACCCAGGGTCCTAGGCACCAGTCCTGAGCCACCTGCCCCAACCAGGCCTGTGGTGCTCACTCATGCCAGCTGGATGGCAAGCAGGACCAGCCATGACTGGCAGAACGTGCCCTGAATGTAGCCCAATATGATGTCATACCTGATGGAGCACCCGGGTCGTGGGGCAAGAAATGAAGCCAGGAGCCCGCTCATAGGAAGGCACCGCTGTCCTCAGTAGTAGAAGTCTGACTCTTTTGTTCTCAGCCAGAACCTGGGGGTGCAGCTCTGGCCAGCCATGCTAAACCCTGAAAGAGCAGGACAATCCAGCCCAATGGTGCCAGCCCAAATGCCCAAAGCACCCCCCACTGAAACAATGACTGGGCTCCCCCAGCCCCACAGGGTTCTGGTCTTCAGAGTTCTTACAGTATGGTTGAGAAGCATCTGAAGCAGACTCTGCATTGAGCACAGAGCCCGACGCAGGGCTCAATCCCACAACCTCGAGATCATGACCTGAGCCGAAACCGAAACCAGACGCTTAACTGACTGAGCCACCCAGGTGCCCCAGAAATCTCGTGATTTTTAAGTGTGCACAAATAATTTTTTTTTTTTAATACTGTGTATCTCAAAGAAATACATGTGTGAGCAGACTCTGCTCTGGGCCACATCCTAGCTGGGGTGCTTATCATGAACCAGAGGACAGAGACCCCAACACACAGTTCGTCTGACAACGGTAAGCCCGGCCTGGCAGAAGCAGCAAGTCTGTGATTCAGAAGAGCAGAAATCAAGAACGGATGGAAAGGCCTTAGAAACTAGGCTGAGAAGTCTGAGGGGCTGTTAAAAGTTCTTGACCTCAACCAGTTAAACAGAATTACCGTGTGATCCAGCAATTTCACTCCTACGTGCACACGCAACAGAAATGAAAACATACGTGCACGCGGACACACGTACACGAACTACTCACAACGGCCGAGGAGTAGAAACAACCCAAGGGTCCGTCAGCTGACGAATGGATGAATAAAAGGTGGTCTATCCAATATTCTGTTGAATATTACTCACAAGAAAGAAGGTCTGGTGTGCATGGCCACAGGGATGCACCTGACACCGTGCACTCAGCGAGAGGAGCTAAACACAAAGGCCACCTGCTGCGTGAGGTCACTTAGACGACGTGGCAGGAATCCACAGACACAGAAAGTGGGTTGGCGGCTGCGTGGGGCTGGGAGGGAATGTGGACGAGGATAAGGGGTACAGGGCTTCTTTTGAGGATGATAAAAACCTTCTAAGATTGATTGCGGTGGATGCCGGCTGTGAATGCTCTAAAATCCCCTGGATTGTATGCTTTAAATGGGTAAATTGTCTGATAGGGGAACTGTATTTCGAATAAGACTTTTTTTTTAAGATTTTATTTATTTATTTGAGAGAGAGAATGAGACAGAG